ATTAAACTGAAAAAAAAAAAAAAAGTAATAACATAACATAACACAGACATGTTGCTCAAAAAAGATCCATCGTTCTTTGCGCCTTGAAAAAAACGAGAGAAAATTTTCACATAAACACGTAAAAACATCTGTCACAGTGACTCAGAACCATCAGGAAACGGATCCAGAGCATCTTGCTTCCCATTCACATAGTACTCCACAACAGCTTTCATCCTCGGAAACTTATCCGGATGATAATTAACATGAACAATAACCGGCCTCAGTTTCTTCAAACTACCATCTTTCCTAACAGTCTTGAAAAGAACCTTACTGTTCATAAACAGGTAAAAATCCATAGTCCTCTTTGACGCATAAAGCCCCACATAACCCGGATGCGAAGGGTAAAACAGCTCCTCGTTAAAAACAGCTTGATCCCACAATTTCTCCCGAGCAAGCCTGCCAGCAATCCTGTCCAAAAGCTCGATAGCCGGAATCGTGGGCCTTATGTAGAAAAACCCAGAATTATAAACCCAAATCCTCATCGTGTGTGCATAACGGGCCCAGCCCATTGACAGCTCGTCAAAAACGTCGTCAAACCCATAAGCTGTCATGTTGTTATGTCCATCCGACATCGACTCCACATCAGAATCTCTGTACAAGAAATCAAAAGGGTTCTGCAGAAACACAATATCGATATCCGAAAGAAGAACGCTATAGCCCAACTGCAAAAACTCTCTCAAGATTCGAAATTTAAGTCCCGAGACCTCGTGATTACCGCCGGTTTTCCCCACGGAGTCGATTAACTCGTCTGGGTCCCTTTTGTAAAAGGGGATATCGTTCGACTTGCAGAAATCGACAATTTCGTCATCTAATGCCACGACTAAGTAATTAGTGATGCCCACTTTTTTAATGTTGGTGAACCAGAGCTCGAGCATGGGCTTCACGTTTGAATTGGCGAGAGCAACTATGAGCTCTTTGCGAACTGCAATTTTTGAAAGGATTTTTGCGAGTCGTGGGTTTACGCTCTCGTCTGGTAGGATGCTAGGGTTTGTCCTTAAACCCTTGACAGTGCCAAAAGGCCCGGCTTTGTGAGGTTCTTTGGCCAACACGAGAAATTGCTCGTGCGTGTGATCCTTGCCTTGCTCGGCTAATCTTAGCTTTTCATTTAATTCTCGGATTTGCCTTTTCAACTCGACGTTTTTGTCTGATAAAGTCATGAGGTTGGACTTGAGTTGGTTTATTTTCTCGGTTGACTCACAAGCAGATGGATCAACCTGCGTGCAGATATACACCAAGAAAAATAGAGTAAGATTTGAAGTAAGAAATGGATATAACTGTGTTAAGTTTATTCAGTCTGCTTTCAGTATAGTTAAACAAACCCATCTGAATGCATCAACAGTGGTGTGAACATGAAATTGGATTGTGTGTAAGCATATAGAAGATGAGTGATGAGAACTTGGACCAAATGAAAAAAATGGAAACTAAACACAGAAACTGTCAAAATAAGAGAAAATGAAGCTGATCTATCTACCTGAAGAGGATTCAACCATTTAAACAAATAAAATAAAATAAATTGAAGCACTCGAGCACACGCAGTCAACTCATCCCTCAAATTGTCGAATACTACACAGCCCAAGTGCATTATGAACAATTCAACCATCCAGAAACTAGCAATCCTCAAATGTTTTAGATATAGCAAATTGAAATAGGGCAAAGGAACCCAAAAGGGGGAGAAAAGGAAAAGGAAACAAAAATAGAGAAATCGGCACCTGAAGATTGGAATTCGAAAGGGAACGAACGCGGGTCGACTGATTGGAGGAGAAAAATCCATGGGGGAACAAAAACGCAAACACGCATCCCAAAGCCACTCCGATCCCAACCGCCGCCGCGATTCGCGACCCCCGGGACGATGATTGGCTGCCCTTCTCCCTCCGGCCCACCGCCATTTTCGATTTCCTTGCTTTTCTACCAGAAAAGCCCCCTTAACAACAATTTTTTAATTCTTTTTTTGTTGGAAAAAATTATAATGGCTCGAGTTAGAAAAACGCTCTCAAGTCTCAACTCATGGAAAACAACTCAGCAGCATAGACATTTTCCGGTTGCAATTTTTAACGTTTAGCGGCCGGCTGCTGAGTAAAATCCAGACTTTTTTTTTATTTTCTTTAATACGTCTGATAATTTATGCAATTTTATATACAAAGCTCTGCCTGTTTAAAAGTGGCGTCGTCGTGGATTCGGTGTAGTGATGTCGTGTGTTGAAACTTGAAAGTTGAAACGGGGGAGTTGTGATCGCCTGCCCTAGGGTGTATAGTTGTGTAGTAAATATTTAATAACAAGTTGATACCTGATAAATAATTTTAAATTTAAATTTAATTAATAGTTGAAAAAATAATTGATATAATAAAAGTGATAAATAATGAGTTTAGATGATGGATAAAAAATTAAGTGATACAATAAAAAGTGTTTGTTAAAATTAGATCATAAGTTGAATTAAAATTTCGATAATTTTGTTAGATAAGTTCTAACTTTTTAAAAAAATTGTCTTAACAAATCAAATTTATTTTATTAATATGTAGTAAGCTTATACGTTAGATTATTTTGCTTACCAAACCTACTTTTAATAGGTCAGCCAAAACAAATATGAACTATACTAACTTTTTTATAATTTTTACATGCATATACATTATCCATTATAAGAATTTTATTTGACTAGTTTTTCAATTATAAATTAAAATACTATTAAAATAAAAACTATAAAATAAATAAATAGTGTTGGAATGAAAGAACATAATTGTTAGTGAACTAATATATAGCTATACAATTTAAGGAGATTTAATAAAGATTAATATTAATAGTATTTTTGTCTATGACGACATGTGTGTATATTTGAACTTAATGTTAGAGCTTGGTGTTATTTTTAAATGAAAATTAAAATTGTTTTCGTGGGAAAATGCGATCTGAATATTATATATATTTATAATCTGAAATTTCTTCTACATCTTGACCATGTGATCATCTGAATATGAATATGTATATGGTCGAAATATAGGCGAGGTTGAATGTTTACATAGTTTAAATTGCAGTTTACCTCGAAACTACAAAGTTGCAAAGTTAAAAAAAAAATAACGGATGGAAAATGGTTTACCCTTAATAAAAAATCATACCACTGGCCTTCATCCTGCAATAAATACAGTGAATTTTTTTTTTGGCCATTTTCAATTGTAAAACACAAATTTTAGCCATAGTTTGGCAAAAACATCTTTTTTAGCCATTTTGGCACTTAAAATGACAAATTTGACCTTACTATCTATTTTTTTAAAGAAAATACAAAATTGTTAATCTAAATGACAAATGCACAAATTCATCATCAATTTTATCATCGGTGTATTCTTCTACATTCACTCCTACTTTGAACTTTCTCTCTCATTTCTAAAAAAAAAAACATTCTTAAAA